AGAGGGGGTGGGCCTGGGTCTTCCTCTGAATGCCCAGCCAGCCTGTGCCCTTTCCCAGTGACCGGAGCCACACTCCCACTCCCTGTCAGCTGTTCCACCTCTCCCTTGGAATCAGATTCCAACAGGGGCATGAGAGGCGGGGGTTGGACTAGATGACCTACAAGGTCCCTCCCGACTCTGATTATCTGTTATCTGTTCTTAATTCCCCACTTAGCAGTTCTACGCTGCAAACCCTGACAAGCGAGAGAGGAGAGGGAGATTTTCGGAGCGTGCCGTTCAAGCAGCCATCCGGAATGCGGCCATTCAGGTTACGGTTAAGCCACCTTTTGAGACGATGCCAAGCTACTTTGTGCAAAAGGCTGAGCTGAACTTTTAATTCCGGATTAGGTGTCCTGCAATAAGTCAAAACTATCTTACCGCTTACAGACACGTCCACTCGATTCCTTATGGTAAGCTAAAAAGTATTATCGTTTGTACAGGTAGTCCTTGACTTACAGCCATTTCTTTAGTCACTGTTTGAAGTGACAAGGGCACTGAAAAAATGAGACTTATGACCATCTCCGGAGATTCTCCATCCTCCAGGTCCTGGTTGTCTCAAAGGTGTTTTTTTTTTTTTTCAAGAGGCAACAGGACTTACTTGGTTTTTCTTCGAAGACACTTCGCTTCTCCTCCAAGAAGCTTCTTCAACTCTTGAAGAAAGAAAAACAATAAACAGGAAATCCAGTTACCTCCCGAAAAAGCACCTTTGGGACAACCACTGATCTGGAGGACTGAGAATCTCTACAGACTTTTGGTCATACAATTTGGGATGAACAACCTTGGAATAGTGTGGGAGAAGGAATGGATTTCCAAAGGAAGAAAAAATTGCAGACTACAGGAACCAGGAGCATCACTCAGGTGACCCTGAGGACACAGATAAACCTCCAAGTGGCCTCAACCACCCTCTAAAAGGATGCAAATGACCAGGGATTTAAATCCTTTCATTCCCCACCATCCAGTCAGAGTTGAAGAAGCTTCTTGGATGAGAAGCGAAACGTCTTCAAAAGAAAAACCAGAAAGTCCAGTTGCCTCTTGAAAGAAAAAAGCACCTTTGGGGTGACTTATGACTCTTTTTCTCCCAACCATTTTAGTCTTAAAAGTGGCCAAGTTTGGGATTCTGGGAGTTGAAGGACACAAGTCTTAAAAGTGGCCAAGTTTGGGATTCTGGGAGTTGAAGTCAACAAGTCTTAAAAGTGGCCAAGTTTGGGATTCTGGGAGTTGAAGTCAACAAGTCTTAAAAGTGGCCAAGTTTGGGATTCTGGGAGTTGAGGGTC